TTAATTATTTACATATTATTTTTAAAAATAATTGTAACTTTTATTTTTACGACATCCTATCAGAAAATTAATAATGAATAAATATTTCGACACTAGGTTGCTCTTTACGTGGAGGATCATGTCGTCGTCGAGAAGATTACAATATTTTTAAAATTAGGTTACAAATAATCATATTGAAATAATTAGTTAGGTTGGTGCAATTTTTGGGAACCCGGTGAGACCAAAAGTCGAGGTCAACCGAATCGGATAATTGGAGTGGATTGGTTGTCGGATGATCAAAAAAGACAATAGGTCTTGGATGGGAGAAGTTGTGATTCAACAGGTGTTGAAAAGGACGAGATTTTGTTGTTTGGAAGACCGAGGGGGTTGATAGTCTACACAGGATCTTGGCTCGAGAAGTTGAGGCGAAGGCGACTTACACAGCGAGAAGGTGGGTGGATACTGGCGTGATGTCGACCTATCATACTTAAATCAATATATAAGCTTGAGAGGAAATAAGTAAAACAGTGACTTGAGAGGAAATGACGTAACTTAAAAGGTTGTGGGCCCTTTATATTCATAGGAGAGGTGGTAGTATGAATGGGCTAACCTTGAGCAGAGCTAATCTCTTGAAGTTGAGCTATCAGCCCAAGTATAAGCTGCCTAATAAAAAGGGCGATTAATGATCGATGTGTTTAGCTGTGCGAGTTTTTGTGCACGTAGTTGTGTGGTCGCGCACACTGGTGGATCGATATGACAACACTAGATTGATGAATGGTATTGCAGATTAATTTACTAAACTTTTTCAAATTTAAGCACAAATCAAATAATTAAGTAAACTTTTTAAACAAAAATAATTTATACTAACCAAAATATGATAAAACAAATAAACAAAATGAGCACAACAATTATTTGCAACAAAAGAAAATATACTTGAAAAATAAATTGCAATAAATATAAAAAGTATACGGGTAGAGAAAACGTTACACTAGAGATTTATAGTGGTTCGGCCAACACCTAACCTACTCCACTCTCTGAGCACCCGAGATTTTCCACTAAATACGATCCTTTTACAAATTCAAGATTGCAAACTCGATTCATTTACGGGATCAAGACCAAACAGCACTTTTTACTAAACCCAACATTTTTTTGGGATAAAGATCAAAACCCACACTCTGTTCTTTTTACCGAGCTCAAGAACGAAACCCAAATAAGCGTAGAAATAAGAATTTTTCACACACTAAAACTCTCTCAAATAGTAGATAAGAAAATGAAATCTCACAACACCTAAAGGCTCTCAAATAACCAAGTAAAAACTTGTTGGGTGTGTTGCCCTAAACTCGTAGTTTGTATTTTGTAAAAACAAATGTCTATTTAATAAAGTTTTATTCAATAAATTTGTTGTTGAATCATAGCTTTGCATTGTCCAAAATCCAATAAACTAAACATCCAAGGTTATTT